ATACTCAGCAAACTATGGTTTGTTGCTAGGATAGTTCCTCCCTCAAACTCAATTATTAAAAACATAAATAAAATAATCTACAATTTCATCTGGGAAAATAAAAGTGAAACAATTAATCGAAACACCTTGAACCTAGAGCATAAAAATGGTGGCCTTAAAGTGCCAAACATTCGACTAAAAATCCAGGCAATGCAACAACAACTTATAGTAAAAGCAATCAAAGACAACAACAGTCCCTGGTTAGGCCTATACATATACTGGCTAGGATTTACTACAAGGGATACTCTGCCAAGATATGCATCCAATAATTATACCCACTCGGAAAAACTCCCCCAATCATATATAGATATAACAGAAACTTACATTAGCCTCAAATCATCCATCAAATATACATACAATACAAAACTTAAAGACATATACTGGTCCCTAATTGTCTTATTACAGACACAACCAAAAATAAATAAACAATTACCTCATGTTGACTTTTCAAAAGTCTGGACAAACCTCTATAAATGCTCCTCCTTATCTGAAAAAGAAAAGGATTTCATGTATACAATCATCAATAATGCAGTACTAACAAAAGATATTATGCTATACAGAAATATATATACTATCAACTATAAATGCCACTATTGTAACCGAGCAACTGAATCTTACCATCATTTATTTCTGAATTGCCCCAAATTAAAATTCTATAAATGTTTCATTACTACACATATAAACAACATTCATCTCACCAAAGAATTCAAAATCAACAACAATACAATCCATCTACACAATATAAAATCTAAATACATTCATGATATATACCTATACCTGTCGATCATATGGTCTAACCGAACACACCCTCTATCCACCAATATTTCACAAGAGCTTATATACCAATTCTATACAAAAAGAAAACAAAAATAAAGATTACTCTCTCAAGCTCGAGTCTTCACTACCTTATGACCCTCCTTAAGCCTAGGTTTGTGTCGTCATGTCTGAATTTATACTCTGCAACTTCTCCCATGAAATATTGACTTTGCTACTATAATAAGTAGCTACAACCATAGACATCTTCTTATATTTCTTTGTATATGAGCACTCATTGCAAATTTTTTTTTTTTTAAGAAGGATTTAGGCCTACAAGCGAAAATAACCAAACACCTGTAGGCCTACCCCATATAAATTCTGGAAAATTTTGGCTTAATTGATAAACCAATATTATACAAAAGGAAATAAAATCGAAATCACCAAGCTTCAGCCTACTCTGCCTTACCGAATTCTCCTGTATAAGGCAAGTTATCGTCCTGTATGAAGCTTCCATATTAATTACTCTACTATATGACTAAACAGACCGTGCTATTTACTTTAAGTTGTCACAACTTGACATCTTAGTCATCTTTCGTTTTCGTTAAATGGCACTATCTCACTCTGTCATATAAATAAAATACCTATACACCCACTGAAATATGTCCAACAGTAAAATAGAAATCTATTAAAAACATTTAAACACTAACTCAAGTTTTACCCAGTTGTTTTACCGCTATTCAGTCACTGTAATCAACACTCAACTCTAACATTAACATGGCCATCATAACATCCCACAATTCCCTATGCACGTTCTTTTTGTGCTGGGAAACATCACACTCTCTTTCAACCAGACGCTTTTCCACTACAGACTTCAAATATATTTTTAGCTGTATATAAGAAAGTAGCTATAATATAGGAACTTTAATTGTATTTTGTATTATATTACCGTTTGTATATATCATCTCATATTGACTTTGTATATAACAATTGTAAATAAATTTAAAAAAAAAAAAAAAAAAAAGAAAAGCAAAAAAAAAGCTAATGGTCACATAGAATACAAGACCGCAGGTTTGTGAATATTTATATAAAAAAAATAATACCATGTATGTAATTTAGCATCGATATTGTTTCTCTGTATAATATTAGTATTTCGTTTCCTTAAAAAAAACTCCAACAATTTAAACCGGAAGTTCATGTTTATAATATGGCGCGGTCAGGAAAAAAATTTCGGCATGTTATTATCAAATCTGTTCAATTTTTCTGAAATCATGCTTAATTAACATTAGTTGTTGGGCGCTACGATGTTGTTCAAATACTTACATTACAGAATCACATTATGATTAAAGCAGAAACGGTTCGACTTGAACCAGCAGGTAAGAATCTGTTTTGAAATTATATCTTGGGAGGTTGGATTGGCGTTGGAGACCCGATTGGCGGCCATTTTGATTCTTGTTTCATGATTTTTTTTATATTATAACGATTTTGCCAAGAGTAGACATAAACGCGGACACAGACTAGAAAAAAATCTTTTTACACTTTTGTGTTAGTTGAATTGTAATCTTATTTATGTTTAAAAAAACAACCTTAAATATAATAAGCAGACGGAAGATATGGACGAACAACAAGAAGAAGTTATGGAGGTCCCAACAACTGAACCTATGGAAGTAGAAGAATCGTTTACAGCCGAAACCCGATACGATGTGCCAGTTCCGGTTATGGAGTCCTCCATCTCAGACGATGCCGACGTTAGTGTCTTCTGCGACGAAGAACCCGTAGTGGTGTATCACTATAAACCTCAGAATGCCTCGTTCGGCATTTCTGTCCAAACGAGGCAAAAACATGTCAAAATTTTTGCCCCGATTTTGCCTCGTTGTAACGAGGTAAAAAAAAAATACCTCGTTTCTCTGGAGTTCCCAAACGTGTTTTTTTTTAAATTGCCCTGTTTTTGGAACGAGGTATTTTGTTCAGAACGAGGCTGGGTAAAATTGCCTCGTTTACTAAACGAGGTATTTTATCCAAGATAATTATTAGCGGTACTTGCTGTCAACAAATAGAGCCATACAAATAATGTTCGGGCCATCATGTGGCCAATTGCAGATCTACAAATTAGATTATTTATTTGGGACATGATATTGTTCATAGTTATGGCTTACTACACTGGAGTTCTATTATGTATAATAAACGCTTCCCGAGCGAAACAAAACATAACAATGTCACGTGACAATATTACATATGGCGGATACAAGCGTTCTTTGATTACATGCTGTTTGGTTTGATTATTAAATAATACGACAATCTGTATATATGGGAAATGGAGAATGAATTTCCCCAAATCCAAAACTAGATGACTGGAATATTTATTGAATGGAAAGTAAATATTTTATAAACAAAAATATTCGGATTTGCAGTATCCTAGCTTGGATGGATTTGTGATTTGAATCTCGAACTCAGTGTTTTATACATTTTATTATAAAATTGTAATAAATGTTTTACATGAATGAATAAAATCTAAAATTTAAAACAGTACAATAACATTGTGATTTGACGCTCTACAAATCACTAAGAGTATAACAATTGCTTGTTGAAAAAGCGTTAATAATATGTTTTTTTCCATTTATTATTTTTTAAAAATATATTCAAAAAGAATGCGTCTTTTACAGATTTCAATATAACCACAAATGGTTGATTGTTTTAATGCTAAGATAAGTATTAATGGTTTGTATTTGAAAATCAAATTATATAAGCGAAAAATAGTAGATACATTATGTATATCTTAAAACACGCCCTTCTCAGTTACTACTTCGGCGAATATCATTTGATAATTTAGATGATCAGAATTAAACACCGTTTTGCTATGTTATTATTTTTTTATGATTGGGTGGGGGTATACTTAATTAGGGGATTGGATTGAAAGATTATAGCTACCATCTTATGGAGACAGAATGTGTGGTGCATTTACGGTCTTATAAAGCTCTATTCTCACATAAAGAATTCTTGATTCGCACGGAAGTGTTTTAGCCGTGATCATTTTAAGTCATGCTTATGCCAAGATCTGGGTAAGTGTTAATTTAACTAGATATCAGAAAAGTACCACGTTTTCATAAATGTACTCTTTAGATAATTTGTACAATATTTATCAGTTCACTAGTTACAATAAAATCATGCATTATAGCTATTTTTATTTATTTATCCCTGGTGCTTCAAATTCAATTTAGGGTGCCTCAACATATTTAAAAATATGTTTTAAAGCTTTAGGTCATTTTATTATATCTTTCTACCATAAATAATAGCCCGAATTTAGGTATACCAAAAGTTAAAGAAATATAAACAGTTTTTGAGTCATTCAGATATGACTGCCAAAATTGTCACCAACACACATGTCGTGTTTAGGCTAAAATCTAACCAGACGGTATTGTCAATACATAATAAAATATATATTGCATTAATCAATTCCATTCCGCAATTGGTTTGTCCCAAACTCGTCATTTGTGTTCATGGGCATCAGGGTCGAGATGGCAACGTTATATGTTTTATTCGTCTAATTTACTATAAAACATCATTCGGTTTGCCTCACGGGTTAACGGCATATTAATAGCTTTATTCACTGAGATGGTTCCTTTACTTATAGTTTATTTTTCGAATTGCTTTTTGTATTTATTTAAATGGAAATATTAACAACATTCTATAAGTCAATCCACGAACATACCCAATTTCAATATTTGCGTGTTGACCTTTAACATCACACTTAGATCCTGTACGCTTTGTGTCTTCCAGTCAATACATGTCATGAAGAACTCTTTAGACATAATTTCGTTTATAATACTTTACTCGTTTCTATTGAGTTGTTTAGCAGAAGTAACCCATGACAATAATATGTTGAGACGACTACGTAACAGAATAGGACGATTCAATGTTATTAAAATGACACAATGACAATTTTAATTTTATTACCAACCCTTTCACAATATTTGAATGAAATATCTCACACAGGGTGTTAATCTGTTTTCAGTTTCTATTCCAATTCAATAAAACATTTAATACATGTCTTGGCTTGATTCATTATTTACAATTTAATACGTTAATCGTGTATTTTAAATAATACAGTTCAAGAGATCAAAACATTTCCGAATTTATACATTCAACATTACACGTAGACCTAAATGTATTTTTCAAATACGTGTATAAACATGTATATGAAATATATTATAAACAGATATGCTATGACCAGAGTTGCCATTATCTTTATTATTCGACTGGAAAACTCCTGTCATTCACTCTGTCGTTCGACTGATCCATCATTCACGTTGTCATTTCCGAATTGCCTGCATTTACAATAGGCAACCACGTTACACAGAGTAAAATGAAGATCTTAGCGCTTGTGCTTGTAATATACTGTACCCTGCTAATCCCGATTTCAGGTAAGAGACTTTTTATGTTTCATTGCTCAGATGAATACAAAATAAACTACACACATCTTAAACGTTACATTAAAGGAATTGCCCCAAAAGACTGTTAGATGTGTGGGTTTTTTTTATGTTGTTTGACGACACGTTTCTGAACATTTATGGCCAAATGTGGGAGCTCCCCAATATATGGTATAGTACGGTGCTACTATCATCAAAATGATCATACCCTATCACTCTGTATGATGCCACATTCCACAAGATTTGAAAATCTTAATGTTTTCCCCACAAGAGTTCCGCAAGGTATTTGAACGAAACGATTTTTTTTTATATTTTCCAATATCCTCCCAGATTCCCCATTGCTTACACTCTGTGTCTACTACATTTGACAAGATTTTCGACTTATGCGTGTTTTTAGTCTGTGCTGTTTTTCACCATAAAGGCCATTTTATGTTAAATATTGTCCTTGGTTTTAACAAGGAGATGCCATGTTTCTTTCCAATAGAGGATGAAGCTGTCTTTAATACCGTATTATCTATTGCAATAAAGATATCAGAAGTTCGAAGTTCGTTCAAACTATTGCTTCTTTTAGCTATACCAAGAAAGTTATTGTTAAATGGTTTTAACAGCATTAAGTAATTGGACTGGAACTGACAGGTGAAAATTCTATGGAATACATTCACTGCTTATTACTGGGAGGGAAGGGGCAATGGCTAGCACGTGCGCGCTGTATTATAAGGTCTGTCATTGGGTCAACTGGCATGGTTTCGAGTCCGCGGTTGTACATGACAAGGAGTAGTGCCGCCTGTCCAACCTCGTGGGTTTTCTGCGTGTCCTCCGGTTTCCTCCAACTGCTAAAGACCCCTACGCGCAAGAGAATTATGGAAATAAAATTGAACCATGTGTTAGTCCCGTAATGACCTAGTTTGTTTCGAGTTGACGTTAACCCCCATTTCTCTATTACTGAGCGACGTAGCTCAGTTAGAAGCTGTATTGTATTCCATAGCATTGCCACCTGTTTAAGATATTGTAACTCTTTCTTCGATATGTGATACCACTTACTGTCTATATATGTCTCTATGTCTGGTGTATCTTGTGTCGCACGTGTAAAACACATATATACAGTGAAAATTGTACAAGCAAAGTTTACATTTGAAACCAGAATTTAGTAGACAGAAATCAATTATAACCATTTAAAGATACATTATGGGAGATTAGATAAAGAGCTGACATTTCGCACTATAATAGTTAGAAACTAGATAATGTGAAGGCAATATGCTGAAAATTTCAGTCAAATTGATCCACTATGAACCGAGATTTTAGCTATTGAATTTTCGGCCTTGCCTCGATCATCATTACTAAACTCCGTACGATAAAAAAAACATAGTCTGGATTATCCATTTCATGATTAAATTATGAATGGAAGTCGAATAGGAAATCCGAACCTAAGCCAATAAACATCGCAGACTAGCGATGACATCGATAGTTGATTATGGTCTGGATAAGTTAATTTATGTCTATTTAATAATTTAGATAATATTTCAGGCCGAAAGAAAGACCTGCAATAGACAGATTTAGCTCTTGCATAATGTATGTTAAATAAACGGCATGTAGATATATAGCTCGATGTAAAGTTGCATTCATACATGAAGGGGAGTGAATATCATCTTTAGGAGACGCCACCATGATACGTAAGGCAAACTTGGTTATTGAGTGGTATTTTAAAACCGTATTGGTGTTTTATGTGGTTATAGGACACTTTGCTGTTCAGATATAATTTTGGCGACCCCGAAAACCCATAGTTTGGCTTATTACTTGATCACATTACTAACACGGAAATTTTCCGCCACATGTGGCCACCATTTTCGAATGGGCGGTCATTAAGGACTACCTTTTTGTCGGAACATACTTTATGTGTATATCTGCATTTATCGACTCAGCCAAAATTAATGCTCCATTATTGTTATCGCTGGGTCGGTTTCCCAGAATTTGTTTAATTTACCTTGATGTCCGGGTACAATTCTTGTAACTCGTATTGCGCATGTAACCATATATAGGCATGGTATTATCATATGTATCTCAAAATGAATGACGTATCGATTTAGTGTTTATCGTGTACGTAAAAACATAATCCTTCTACATAATTCCATAGTTCTTTTCTGTCCCATGTATGCCCGCCTACAGAAAATTGTTCTGCATAAGTAACTTTTAATGTCGGTATATCCGTATGTTGCTCTTACTGGTGTCCTATTTACTGATATGCCCAAGCCCATCTACACATTCCTCGTTTAGACATACATCGCGGTGCTTTATTCAGACATAAGACCCATATTTTCGAAAATGGATTAGAGCTAATCTGAGATTTAATTTCCAAATTTCTGAACAGTCATATTCTGACACGCTGATTAAATTTTAAATGAATATTTTGTAAACTTTGATTAACCTAACCAGTGAGTTAATAATTGTTCGTGAATACCATAAATGTGATATTCTGGAAGGTTGACTTAACTCATCTTAGGCGAGTAGCTTAAGAATGAATTAAGTGCACTGATATGCCATTATGATGTATTATTTGTTTATAGAAATTATGCATCATTGATTTCAAACAAATTGCACTTATATTTAGCCACGAAAGCAACAAGTTCACATTGACATTTCAATTATCCCGATAAAGAGATATAGGACACGAAAGACAGTCGTGCGGAATGAACTAATAAGTGCATTTATTCTCGCTTATTGAAGTTTGGTAACTACAAATTTTCGCCTTCTTTTCCCGTTTTTGTAAATAAAGTTTTTTAATCATAAGGTACAGTATGGCGCAGTTGTACACAAATTCCGCATTCAATGAGCAACGAAAATATATGAAAGGAAATTCAAAAATAGTTTCCAAACATGATACGTTTTTAAATTTGAACTCCATACAAAGTTTTAATCCGGGGGTCCACAAGTAAGAGAAAGGTATTTTTTACTCAGACAATATTGTCAGACAGACTTGAATGCTAATTGGTGTCAAGATGTCTGTAGTTAAAATAAAGTTGGGCCCAATAAACTGGTAGATCAAAGGCCTGTTGAGCGCTCATGCCCGGTGTGATTTTAACAATTGACTCCAAATGCGTTGACAAGAAAATAAGTAAAACTGTTATTGAATGTGATTGGTTGATAAAATCAACGTACTATAGGCTACATTTTGTCTGCGATATCATCTCGGTGGAAGCGGACATTAAATGAAGTGATTTCACACAATTAATTTAACATTTAACAACGTGCTGAAATGATTTTGGAGCAGTGATATGTTTGACAAATGTAAGCTAATGGTCACATAGAATACAAGACCGCAGGTTTGTGAATATTTATATAAAAAAAATAATACCATGTATGTAATTTAGCATCGATATTGTTTCTCTGTATAATATTAGTATTTCGTTTCCTTAAAAAAAACTCCAACAATTTAAACCGGAAGTTCATGTTTATAATATGGCGCGGTCAGGAAAAAAATTTCGGCATGTTATTATCAAATCTGTTCAATTTTTCTGAAATCATGCTTAATTAACATTAGTTGTTCGGCGCTACGATACTTACATTACAGAATCACATTATGATTAAAGCAGAAACGGTTCGACTTGAACCAGCAGGTAAGAATCTGTTTTGAAATTATATCTTGGGAGGTTGGATTGGCGTTGGAGACCCGATTGGCGGCCATTTTGATTCTTGTTTCATGATTTTTTTTTATATTATAACGATTTTGCCAAGAGTAGACATAAACGCGGGCACAGACTAGAAAAAAATCTTTTTACACTTTTGTGTTAGTTGAATTGTAATTTAATTTATGTTTAAAAAAACAACCTTAAATCTAATAAGCAGACGGAAGATATGGACGAACAACAAGAAGAAGTTATGGAGGTCCCAACAACTGAACCTATGGAAGTAGAAGAATCGTTTACAGCCGAAACCCGATACGATGTGCCAGTTCCGGTTATGGAGTCCTCCATCTCAGACGATGCCGACGTTAGTGTCTTCTGCGACGAAGAACCCGTAGTGGTGTATCACTATAAACCTCAGAATGCCTCGTTCGGCATTTCTGTCCAAACGAGGCAAAAACGTGTCAAAATTTTTGCCCCGATTTTGCCTCGTTGTAACGAGGTAAAAAATATACCTCGTTTCTCTGGAGTTCCCAAACGTGTTTTTTTTTAAATTGCCCTGTTTTTGGAACGAGGTATTTTGTTCAGAATGAGGCTGGGTAAAATTGCCTCGTTTACTAAACGAGGTATTTTATCCAAGATAATTATTAGCGGTATTTGCTGTCAACAAATAGAGCCATACAAATAATGTTCGGACCATCATGTGGCCAATTGCAGATCTACAAATTAGATTATTTATTTGGGACATGATATTGTTCATAGTTATGGCTTACTACACTGGAGTTCTATTATGTATAATAAACGCTTCCCGAGCGAAACAAAACATAACAATGTCACGTGACAATATTACATATGGCGGATACAAGCGTTCTTTGATTACATGCTGTTTGGTTTGATTATTAAATAATACGGCAATCTGTATATATGGGAAATGGAGAATGAATTTCCCCAAATCCAAAACTAGATGACTGGAATATTTATTGAATGGAAAGTAAATATTTTATAAACAAAAATATTCGGATTTGCAGTATCCTAGCTTGGATGGATTTGTGATTTGAATCTCGAACTCAGTGTTTTATACATTTTATTATAAAATTGTAATAAATGTTTTACATGAATGAATAAAATCTACAATTTAAAACAGTACAATAACATTGTGATTTGACGCTCTACAAATCACTAAGAGTATAACAATTGCTTGTTGAAAAAGCGTTAATAATATGTTTTTTTCCATTTATTATTTTTTAAAAATATATTCAAAAAGAATGCGTCTTTTACAGATTTCAATATAACCACAAATGGTTGATTGTTTTAATGCTAAGATAAGTATTATTGGTTTGTATTTGAAAATCAAATTATATAAGCGAAAAATAGTAAGATACATTATGTATATCTTAAAACACGCCCTTCTCAGTTACTACTTCGGCGAATATCATTTGATAAGTGTTAATTTAACTAGATATCAGAAAAGTACCACGTTTTCATAAATGTACTCTTTAGATAAATTGTACAATATTTATCAGTTCACTAGTTACAATAAAATCATGCATTATAGCTATTTTTATTTATTTATCCCTGGTGCTTCAAATTCAATTTAGGGTGCCTCAACATATTTAAAAATATGTTTTAAAGCTTTAGGTCATTTTATTATATCTTTCTACCATAAATAATAGCCCGAATTTAGGTATACCAAAAGTTAAAGAAATATAAACAGTTTTTGAGTCATTCAGATATGACTGCCAAAATTGTCACCAACACACATGTCGTGTTTAGGCTAAAATCTAACCAGAAAAGTATTGTCAATACATAATAAAATATATATTGCATTAATCAATTCCATTCCGCAATTGGTTTGTCCTAAACTCGTCATTTGTGTTCATGGGCATCAGGGTCGAGATGGCAACGTTATATGTTTTATTCGTCTAATTTACTATAAAACATCATTCGGTTTGCCTCACGGGTTAACGGCATATTAATAGCTTTATTCACTGAGATGGTTCCTTTACTTAAAGTTTATTTTTCGAATTGCTTTTTGTATTTATTTAAATGGAAATATTAACAACATTCTATAAGTCAATCCACGAACATACCCAATTTCAATATTTGCGTGTTGACCTTTAACATCACACTTAGATCCTGTACGCTTTGTGTCTTCCAGTCAATACATGTCATGAAGAACTCTTTAGACATAATTTCGTTTATAATACTTTACTCGTTTCTATTGAGTTGTTTAGCAGAAGTAACCCATGACAACAATATGTTGAGACGACTACGTAACAGAATAGGACGATTCAATGTTATTAAAATGACACAATGACAATTTTAATTTTATTACCAACCCTTTCACAATATTTGAATGAAATATCTCACACAGGGTGTTAATCTGTTTTCAGTTTCTATTCCAATTCAATAAAACATTTAATACATGTCTTGGCTTGATTCATTATTTACAATTTAATACGTTAATCGTGTATTTTAAATAATACAGTTCAAGAGATCAAAACATTTCCGAATTTATACATTCAACATTACACGTAGACCTAAATGTATTTTTCAAATACGTGTATAAACATTTATATGAAATATATTATAAACAGATATGCAATGACCAGAGTTGCCATTATCTTTATTATTCGACTGGAAAACTCCTGTCAAGCGTTGGTATAAAGCTGAATGTTGATGTGAATTGCCTGCATTTACAATAGGCAACCACGTTACACAGAGTAAAATGAAGATCTTAGCGCTTGTGCTTGTAATATACTGTACCCTGCTAATCCCGATTTCTGGTAAGAGACTTTTTATGTTTCATTGCTCAGATGAATACAAAATAAACTACACACATCTTAAACGTTACATTAAAGGAATTGCCCCAAAAGACTGTTAGATGTGTGGGTTTTTTTTATGTTGTTTGACGACAAGTTTCTGAACATTTATGGCCAAATGTGGGAGCTCCCCAATATATGGTATAGTACGGTGCTACTATCATCAAAATGATCATACCCTATCACTCTGTATGATGCCACATTCCACAAGATTTGAAAATCTTAATGTTTTCCCCACAAGAGTTCCGCAAGGTATTTGAACGAAACGATTTTTTTTTATATTTTCCAATATCCTCCCAGATTCCCCATGGCTTACACTCTGTGTCTACTACATTTGACAAGATTTTCGACTTATGCGTGTTTTTAGTCTGTGCTGTTTTTCACCATAAAGGCCATTTTATGTTAAATATTTTCCTTGGTTTTAACAAGGAGAGGCCATGTTTCTTTCCAATAGAGGATGAAGCTGTCTTTGTAAGGTGCGATAATGTATTTATAATTTGAAGTTACGATGGGCATCATGTTATTACTAGCATGTGTACATTTAAAGTTAAATTTAAATTAAGCATAATGATACTATCTGGTGTATATCTAATGTTACATTGAACATAATGTTATAACTCCCTGGTGTATATTTAATGTTAAATTGAACATACTGTTATAACTCCCTGGTGCATATTTTAAATTAAATTGAACATAATGTTATTACACCTTGGTGTATATTTAAAATTACGATTATCATACTAATTATTATTACTATCTGATGGATATTTAAAGTGACATTGGAATTAATATTATTATTACAATCTGGTGTATATTTAAAGTGACAATGGAACTAATTTTATTATTACTATCTGGTGGATATTTAAAGTGACAATGGACCTATTACTATCTGTATATAAAGATTTGTTGATTACACAATTTTAACATCAAGTAATATATTAACTTAGTATAAATGATTAACTATCAATAAAATAACGCCATTAATACCGTATTATCTATTGCAATAAAGATATCAGAAGTTCAAAGTTCGTTCAAACTATTGCTTCTTTTAGCTATACCAAGAAAGTTATTGTTAAATGGTTTTAACAGCATTAAGTAATTGGACTGGAACTGACAGGTGAAAATTCTATGGAATACATTCACTGCTTATTACTGGGAGGGAAGGGGCAATGGCTAGCACGTGCGCGCTGTATTATAAGGTCTGTCATTGGGTCAACTGGCATGGTTTTTATGTGGTTATAGGACACTTTGCTGTTCAGATATGATTTTGGCGACCCCGAAAACCCATAGTTTGGCTTATTACTTGATCACATTACTAACACGGAAATTTTCCGCCACATGTGGCCACCATTTTCGAATGGGCGGTCATTAAGGACTACCTTTTTGTCGGAACATACTTTATGTGTATATCTGCATTTATCGACTCAGCCAAAATTAATGCTCCATTATTGTTATCGCTGGGTCGGTTTCCCAGAATTTGTTTAATTTACCTTGATGTCCGGGTACAATTCTTGTAACTCGTATTGCGCATGTAACCATATATAGGCATGGTATTATCATATGTATCTCAAAATGACTGACGTATCGATTTAGTGTTTATCGTGTACGTAAAAACATAATCCTTCTACATAATTCCATAGTTCTTTTCTGTCCCATGTATGCCCGCCTACAGAAAATTGTTCTGCATAAGTAACTTTTAATGTCGGTATATCCGTATGTTGCTCTTACTGGTGTCCTATTTACTGATATGCCCAAGCCCATCTACACATTCCTCGTTTAGACATACATCGCGGTGCTTTATTCAGACATAAGACCCATATTTTCGAAAATGGATTAGAGCTAATCTGAGATTTAATCTCCAAATTTCTGAACAGTCATATTCTGAAACGCTGATTAAATTTTAAATGAATATTTTGTAAACTTTGATTAACCTAACCAGTGAGTTAATAATTGTTCGTGAATACCATAAATGTGATATTCTGGAAGGTTGACTTAACTCATCTTAGGCGAGTAGCTTAAGAATGAATTTAGTGCACTGATATGCCATTATGATGTATTATTTGTTTATAGAAATTATAGTAGTTTGGTAACTACAAATTTTCGCCTTCTTTTCCCGTTTTTGTAAATAAAGTTTTTTAATCATAAGGTACAGTTAGCGCAGTTGTACACAAATTCCGCATTCAATGAGCAACGAAAATATATGAAAGGAAATTCAAAAATAGTTTCCAAACATGATACGTTTATATTATGTGTATATGTATAAATGATGAATCGACAGAAGTGATGTGAATGTAAATTTTAAAAATAGTAATTACATTTCAATCTTTCCAAGCAGTGTCGGATTTACCTTTGCGCTTGGCATACTGAAACCTGGGAGGTCTCGGGCCTAGCTAGGTTTGTAATATTTTTATTTTACACTGTCATCCCCCTTTGGCGTTGCACAAACATACTTTTATTTTCGGCTAGTTGCAAGGGTTGGCGATTGGAAGGAGCCTCGTATTCCAGCAGTGTTTCCATGCTTATAATCTAACTTACAATTGTGGGAAAGTTTTATATTATAAGAACCCTAAAAGCGACGAAATAAATAAAGAATAGCGATATTGCAAGTTTATACAAACGTAACAAGCAATGATTATTTTGAATGTTAATCAAGGAGATGTTCCTATAGTAGATGCCATTAAAACAAACATTTCCAAAATAAAAGCAGGGGCACATCTCTTTGATTTAAATTAAGTCTGTTCCTGTGCCTCTTTGCCATCTGAAGAACAGAACAAATGTGTAATATATTGTAACAACAAGAGTGTTTTTACAATATATTACGCAATGTCTTAAGCTCGAGACCATTAAACAACTTAAAATACAGACACTTGCACGTGCTTTGCAATGAAAAACGTCACTCGGGTTCAATATTTTAACTAGTTACACTTGGCACATTGCCCGTACGATTATTTGAAATAATGGTACACCAACATCAAAGAATGACGTCACATCTGTATTTTAAATAAATTTATTTGACACACCCACACACCCAAGTCTTACTCTTCTGCTCGTTCCAAGCTAATAATGACGTTCATACGCCATACTGTGTTTTATGAAGGACAATTTGCCTGGGAAATGGCCCAAGGTCTACTCCTATTTCGGATTTCAAATGGAGTGGCAATTACGCCAAGGTGTACCACGATACCCTTTTTGTACAATAATCCCGACGAACTTTAACGGCCAACACCGGGAACGTATGGGAGGATAACGTTGCCAATATTATTTCAATGTTCACGGTGCAACATATATATGTTAGCAGTTCAAAATACGTAATTTAGTTTTACAATTTGAAATTTCCAACCCGGATCTAAGTGATAGCGGTTGAACCTTTTCACGTGAGATACTTTTATGAATTACTCTATAGACATATTTCTTTCATAAGACGACTACAAAACAGAATAACAATATTTAATGTTTAATATGTGGGTGTGTAGATATGTTTACTATAACATACAATATTATAATACACCATTTCACCAACTTTATTCTTATATATCACACGAAGTAAAATGGCGCCCTTGGTTGTAATATATTGTATTCTGCTGGTTCCGATTTCAGTTACCGGTAAGTGAGTGTTATATGTCATTGCTCGGAGAATTATATAATTCATATGTATAAAAAATAAACTACATACAACCCAGGTGTGGTCATTGCAAAAGACTCTTAGATATGAATTTTGTTTATCCCGAATGCAAGCAGATTTATGTTGTTTGACGACAATTAAGTTTCTACACGTTCATGCCAAGGTTTGGAAGAAGCTTTTTATACACCTACATTTTCATGTGGACGTATATTGTTGTTACCCCTGGCCCGGACGTCCGGCCACAGTCTACAGGTCACAAATTTATCCAATTTTGATGGAACTTAAAATATACGTTTATCTCCCAAAGATCACGGTTCCTGTCGATATTGGCATTGATCGGAACGTAACGTCATATGTCCCATGATTGTGCGACCTTTAGAAATCACAATTCTTGTCCGACTTAAAAAAAAACCCCAAAATAGGTTTTTATATATCACTGTTACACCATGATGCCGGTTGAGTTCGTATTTCGTAAAATATCATGGTCGTTCCCTGTACGCAAATAGTGTAAAAGTATGGAATATCAAGGTTGTAAGACCCACGAGGAGTCACAGATTATATCCGATTTTGATGAAACTTAAAATGCATGGTTATATCCCAAAGATCTCCGTCGATATTAACGCACAACGGACTGAAATTTCCTGGGTTATAACCCCTGACCAATTGTACGAAAAAAATCAAGATTTTAGCTTGTGGACGCTCTAGATGTCAAAATAATTTTATCCCATTTCAAAATTCGTTTACATATATCATCGTGTTTTTAGCTTCCCGCTTAACATTTTTCGTTAGATTTATGTAAAGTTTACGACATTTTGCTTAACCTCCAATAATGGTAACATTTTACTGTTGAATGTACGTTACTTTTACGTCAGGATGGGTATGTTTACTTTTCTGTTAGAAAATTAGGTAAATCTAACATAAATTTTCTGACGGTTTTCAAACCATTTTTTTTTTCGCTTTGAATATTTGTGGATTAAATAACAATACCACTGTATGTTATAATTGATAAATGACATAAGTATCACTGGTTATCAACTGAAGGTTAATCAAACGTAATCATCCTATCCCTTAGTTTATGGTTAGTTTTATGTGATGATATAACCGTTAATTTAACGTTAGGTTTCTAACGTTAATGTAACGTTAAATTTCCAAGGGTAATTTTACATTAGTTTTATTTCAGAATTTTAACCGTTAATTTTATTTCAGAATTTTAACCGTTAATTTACCGTCAGTTTTCTAACGTAAATTTAACTTTAGTTTTCTAACGTAAATGTAACAATTAAATTACTGTTAGTTCTTGATTGTTAGTTATCTAATCGTAATTTTGACCATATCAGAATTCTTCCAATTCTGATTGATGAAATATTAGAATTTTAATCTCACCTTTAAATAAAGTCAGACAAAGTAGAAATTTGACCAAATTCAATATGTCGTAAACAAATTAGATCTCTATCGTGTTTACGGGTTTTTCGGAAAAGGTCGCTAATTTGTCACAGAACAATCAATATTTATAAGATTTCGTCTGCACGCCGCCGACATTGGCACCGTGAAGGGACATATGTTTAGATTGTTTGGACTTTTTAGTTTCCCTAAAACTCGTGATGACCTGCAACTAAATTCAGAACTTATTGCCAGTGTTAAGCAGTAGCAGCTTTTACCGATAAATCTCTCTTTAAAGCAGCCCCTGCTTATTCCTGGCGCAATAGGTTCTGAATTTATATGCAAAATACTCAGATTACGGAACAAATTAGCCCAATGCTTCCACCAAATTTGAAAAAAGATATGTTAAAAACTATAGCGGGCTGAATTTTGGATAGGGTATATCCGCTCGTGACCCCGATGTTTTCCCCAAAAATTGAAAAAGATTTATAGCGGTTATTGCCGTCACAAAGTTTTCAGCAAGGTTAGGGGAAGGTAACTTTTTTTGCACTGCTCGAAAAATATTACAGTCCGAATGTTGGGGGCAGCGTACGCCTAAGCGGATGCGGATTATGACGTGTTGTTATTAAATTGTTCAATTTACAAATTTCCAGGATTTCCAATAATGATAACCTATTTCATATTTACCACGAAGTTTATGTAAATCTTGATATTAATTTACTGTGTATACGTAGATGAGCCTGACAAATTAGGATGGGGGAGGAGCAAACTGTTCTGTCAACAGACCCCATGATCCTTTGATTTCATCCCATCGTCAAATACCCATACGGCGAAAGGGAATTATTGAAATTCCATTTCCAAACAATTGATGAAACAAATAAGGAATATTGCATGGAAACTGTCAAAGTTATCGGATTTCGGACATTTTATTTTGTCAGCTAGAATTTAAAAAAAAGAGTTAAAAATTCCCCACAAAATATTATATAATCTTTTTTGGTGCTGTGCCCAAAAAATCTTACAGTGCGAATGTTGAGGAACAGGGTGCGCCAATGCCAACCATGATTTCTGTGTTGTTATTAAATTGTTTAATTTACTAATTTGCCTGATTGACAAATATCATGATCATCATTATAGACATGCTATGTTAGCCAATTCAGCATGTATATATTTTTGCGTATACTTATTATAAGTGTACATTTTGTATTTGTATTTTGTATCATAATTATCAATAAGGAGATGAATTGTTTTGCGTTTTGACTTGTTTTTAAATAGTTACAAGAGTTCCGCAAGATATTTGAACCAAACGATTTTTTTTTTATTTTCCAATATCCTCCCAGATTCCCCATGGCTAACAGTCTTTGTCGTAACACATTTGACAAGTTTTTGGATTTCAACGTGTTTTTAGTCTGTGCTGTTTTTTACCAGTTAAAAAAATAAAGGCCGTTTTATGTTTAATATTTTTCCATGGATTTTAACTAGGAGAGGCCATGGTTATTTCCAATATGACAAAATTAGTTATATTTATCTACTTATTGAGGATAAAGATGTCTTTGTAAGGCGCTATAATGTATACTATTTAGAATTTGCCATAATTTCATGGACAGAGCCACAGTCTGAAATTCAGAGATAAGCTATTGATGTTTGGTATTAAGAAGTCGCATTGTATTTTTTTTAAAAATAATATAATATATTTTATTTGTCTATACCTGGAAAGTGATTGGAAGGAAATGGTATTGTAGGTAGAATTGTTCTGTCATCTTTTGATATGACGGTCCCTTAATAACTGATTAATTTAATGGATCTCTTTATTTTATTCTAGGTTTAGATTGTTACACTTGTCCTTTTCACACTGAGTCTGCTGACTGCAGTTCACTTAACAATACTATAGAAGTGGAATCATTCAATTTCACCTGTGTTCAGATCAAGCAAACTAAAGGTAAACAGCATTATATCAGCATTATTTCTGTTTCTACAGATTGAGCATTTTATAATTGACGATGTTTTTTTTTTATTTCTGATATCTGAATGTATGAATATGTCACTATGACTAAATCGTATCAACTCGTCGTCTTTTGGCTCTATTTGGATATTCATTATTTTATTATTGTTACAGGTACAGAACTGTGTCAGAAATATCCTGATGCAGGCTATCAACTAAGATGTACCAACACCGTAGGTTCTTCAAGTTCATCAAGGACATGTAGTCATAGCTGTGAAAGGAATGGAGCCAGTAAAGGGCGTGGTTTGAATAAAGTTACGATGGGCATCATGTTATTACTAGCATGTGTACATTTAAAGTTAAATTTAAATTAAGCATAATGATACTATCTGGTGTATATCTATTGTTAAATTGAACATAATGCTATAACTCCCTGGTGCATATTTAAAATTAAATTGAACATAATGTTATAACTTCCAGGTATATATATTAAATTAAATTGAACATAATTCTATAACTCCCTGATTTATATTTCATGTTAAATTGAACATAATGCTATAATTCCTTGGTGTATATTTAAAATTACGATTATCATACTAATTATTATTACTATCTGTTGGATATTTTAAGTGACATTGGAACCAATACTATTATTACTATCTACTATATTTAAAGTGACATTGGACCTAATTTTATTATTACAATCTGGTGTATATTTAAAGTGACAATGGACCTATTACTATCTATATATAAAGATTTGTTGATTACACAATTTTAACATCAAGTTAATTAATAACTTAGTATAAATGATTAACTATCAATAAAATAACGCCATTAATACCGTATTATCTATTGCAATAAAAACATCAGAAGTATGAAGTTCGTTCAAACTATTGCTTCCGTTAGCTATACACCATGGCAGTAGTCGTATACTAAGCAAGTTATTGTTAAATGGTTTTAATGGCATTAAGTAATTGGACAGGAACTTACAGGTGACAATTGTATGGAATACATTCACTGCGTATTACTGGGCGGGTGGGGGGGGCGAATGGCTAGCTTGTGTGCGCTGTATTATAAGGTCTGTCATTGAGTTAACTGGCGTGGTTTCGAGTCCGCGGTTGTACGCGACAAGGAGTAGTGTCGCCTGTCCAACTTCGTGGGTTTTCTCCGGGTCCTCTGGTTTCCTCCAACTGCTAAAGGCCCCTACGCGCAAGTTAGTCCCGAAATGACCTAGTTTGTGTCGAGTGGACGTTAAACACCATTTCACTATTACTGGGCGACGTAGCTCAGTAAGACGCATTGTCACCTGTATAAGATAATGTTACTCTTTCTGGGACATGTCACACTACTTATTGTCTATATGTGTCTCCATCGAAAATAAGAAATTAGGAAAAACGATGGGCGCTATTTAGTCGAAAACACTCAGTGTACATGTACTTCGAAGATTTTGATAAGCAGTCATTCAATAAATTTTCGGGGAGCGCGAGGCCCCCATACACCGCAACGATTGATTGGTTGTTCGAGATTTTGAATTCGGGTAAGTCACCTAGTGTAGGCTATATTGAACCACATTGAACTTGCTGTATTCACGGGCTGAAATAATAGGAAAAAGGGTTTGTGTCAGTTAAATTTTCAAAATTTTGTCCCGACGGTCCCATCTCCGTGGATTGTAAACGATTGATTGGCTGATTGGAGTTCGACCACTTTGAAGTTGCTGTATTCACGGTCTGGAATAGCAAGAAAACGCCTTTGCGGCCATCAAATTTTCCAAATGTTCTTTTTTGTGGAGCGTGCGTCCTACACGGTATCTTAGCAATTATAGTTTGAACGTGTTTAACCAGTTTTATCACATATACGATAATGACTGACACCAATATTGTTTAATAAACGGCTCACATAAGGGTCGTGTACATTGCTCGATGTACACCTGCATTCAAACATGAAGGGGATTGAATATCATCTTTATCAGATGTCATCATGATGAGTAAGGCAAACTTGGTTATTATGTGGAATTTTAAATCCGTCTTGGAGTTTCATTTGATTATTGCACACTTCACTGTTCAAATATGAAATTGCCGAGCCCGAAAATCTACAGTTTGGCGTATTGCACGATCACATATTACTAAACATGGATATTTCCAGCCTCTTGTGACCACCATCTACGAATTAGTGGTGATATCGGACTACCTTTTAGTGGGAACATACTTTATGTGTATATCTGCATTTATCGTCTCGGCTAAAATTAGTGATCCATTGGGTTATTCATTACTCTTAAGAATTATCCAATTTTATTGATTAATTTTAATTAATTTCTTTGTCATATCGGTCAACTTTTTGTTTAATCTTTGACATAACATCGGTATGAATGTGAGCGGATATCTGGCATTATATCTGAAATAAGTGTAACTACCAAACAGATGTCTGGCTGCCTTAATTAATTAAGAACGGCTTTACAGTTATTAGACCATGTAATAAATTTGTAAACAAGACAATAAGGACATGATAGAGAGTATCATGTTTCTGTCCCAAAACAAAGATATGTAATATTTTTGTGGAAAATTTAAAACAAATAAAACATCCCTGAAAGGAAGCGTGCATTATTGTTATCGCTGGGTCGGCTTCCGAGAATATTTTAATTTGCCTTGATGTCCGGGTACAATTCTTGTATCTCGTATTGCGCATGTAACCATATATAGGCATGGCATTATCATATGTATCTCAAAATGGCCGAAGTATTCCATTTAATGTGTACGTAGAAACATAATCCTTCTACATAACTTCATATTTCATTTCTTTCCTATCTACTCTATGCCCACCCACAGAAAATGGTTCTGCATAAGTAATTTTCAATGTCGGTATTTTCGTATGTTGCTCTTACTGGTGTCCTATTTACTGATATGCCCAAGCCCATCTACACATCCCCCGTTTAGACTACCATTGTGGGTGCTTTATTCAAACATCAGACCTATATTTTCGAAAATGGATTAGTGCTAATCTGAGATTTAATCTCCAAATTTCTGAACAGTCATATTCTGAAAAGCTGATTAAATTTTAAATGAATATTTTGTAAACTTTGATTAACCTAATCAGTGTGTTAATCATTGTTCGCGAATGCCATAAATATGATATTCTGGAACGTTGACTTAAATCATCTTAGACGAGTAGCTTAAGGATGAATTAAGTGCACTGATACGCCATTATGGTGTATTAATTGTTCGTAGAAATTATGCGTCATTGATTTCAATCAAATTGCACTTATATTTTGCTACGAAAGCAAAAAGTGCACATTGACCGTACATTTTATTTTCCCTATCGCTTTGCCAACATTTCAATTATCCCAATAAAGAGATATAGGACACTAAAGTCAGTTGTGCGGAACGAACTAGTAAGTACATTTATTCTAGCTCATTCAAGTTTGGTAACTACAAATATAGGCCTTCTTTTCGCGTTTTTATAAATACAGGATTTTAATCTTAAACATAGAAAGAGCTAAATCTGCTAATTGTAGGTCTTTCTTTAGGCCTGAAATGTTATCTAAATTATTAAATATACATTAATGAACTTATCCAGACCATAATCAACTATTATAGTGAGAACTACCAGCACTTTTACCTAATCTCCCGTGATGTATCTTTAATGTACACAAATTTCGCATTTATTGAGGAACGAAAATATATGAAAGGAAATTCAAAAATAGTTTCGAAACATGATACGTTTATGTTTATATGTATAAATGATCAATCGACAGAAGTGATGTGAAAGTAAATTTTAAAATTAGTAATTACATTTAAATCTGTCCGAGCAGTGTCGGGTTTACCTATGGGCTTTGCAGACTGAAACCTACGGGGTATCGGGTCTAGGTTTATACTGTTATTGTACACTGTCATCCTCCTTGATTTTGCCCAAACACACTTTCATTTTCCTCTAGTCGCGAGGGTGGGCGATTGGAAGGAGTCTCCTTATCCGGCACAGTTCCCAAGCTTATAATCCCACTTACAATTGTCGGAAAGTAATATTATAAGAACCCTAAAAGCCAAACAATAAGGAGTCTCCTTATCCGGCACAGTTCCCAAGCTTATAATCCCACTTACAATTGTCGGAAAGTAATATTATAAGAACCCTAAAAGCCAAACAATAAATAACGAATAGCGATATTGCAAGTTTATACAAACAATGATTATTGGAACCAGTAGACGTGGTACAAGGGTTAATCAGCGAACTGGATGTATGAGATGTGTTGTTGACGTTTGGGAAAGTAGGACGAGGGGAAATGTGTAGGGAGTGAAGTGCTGTAAAGGGATAGTTAGATGTATTATGAATGGTTAGAGTGGCTGTGGTGTTACGGTGAAATACTATGCCGCCACCGTAACACCACAGCTTTATGATTTGTTAGACAGGAGTGATGTAATGGGTGTCAACAACTGGGTATGCTGGTAACGTCGCAACGTAGCCGTGAAATATATATTGTGGGGGGGGGGGGAGGGCGAAAACGGAAAAATATACAATGTTGACAGTTTGTGCCAGGCATGAGGCTGCGCAGACCGAGCGGCAGCTCGATAGGGAGTGTGTGGGACGGTCACCCTCGTAAAAATTTTTTTTTTTTAAATTTCTGTTTTCTGTAAGCAGTGAAAACACTATTTTGGCATTGTTTGCGGGGTTAAACCTAAAAATCACATTAATACACCTATTGCACGATATTGTGAAACTAGCTGACGAAGACAGCTCGGGCGGCGATTGTTCGACTCGGGGCTGCTCTGTCAGTATCTAACAAACGCATTTAGTTCGCGTACAACTTTTAAAAACCGAATGTCAGTATGGTATTTCTCACATAATTGGTTATCGCAAAAACAGAGTAAACTGAAAGCGAGTAATCTCGACTCAAACCTATAGTCTATAGCCTACTTACAGTACTACACTCGTCACCCTATATTATTGTTTGTGGACGGTTTACTACTCAGTGATAAGCCTGCGCCGCAAAAAGAGGTCTCGCCTTTTATTATTAGTATAATGACTTCCTCATGTGCGGCAGGTTAGTTTGCTTCTAAAAACACCGTTTTCCGTTCCAAAAAATACAAAAGTAATTTTCTACCAGATGAGCATGGTTCTTTTCACCGAGACTAGATAATTTCTCTCGGTGTAAGGATATAGATATGGATAAGTTCATACAAGGTCAATAAATCCGCGGTCACGTCGGGTCCCACTGTTGAGAAAATAAACCGATGGGTTTGTTTAGTAGCAAATCGAGCGTGAATCAACTGAGTTTGTACTGAAAATTTTTTGAGTGATATGTATGAACTGTCTTCACACATTCGGTTTATAATTATCGATACACAGGTAGAGTGGCAAGTGTTGTACTTCACAGACTGTTTACCTCCGAACTACCTCCGCACGAAATCCCCGATTTGGGTACTTGTTAAAAGAAAAAGAAATAGTACCTGTGCGCATGCCAGTAAAAAAAACCTAAGAGTTCGCGCATAAAAATGCCCGAACGTACCAGGCGCCAGGTCATCCAGCCCGACTGAAATAACTTGTTTAAATATAGATGTACATTTTATGTTTAGTTGTCTAAATGTTCGTCCACATTCGTGTCTGTTCTGTAAAATATTCGTGTAGTGCTGTATGATGTATATCTGTTATTTAACGTCTCTTCCCATCACTTATTATTTGTTAATCCTTTTAAATCCTATTGGCTAATCACATTGTAAATAATATCACTATGTATGTATAGCATGTTATTGTCTAAGATATCACCTCGGTGAACGCGGGCGTAAAATAAAGCTATTTCACTCACACACACACGCGTCTTACTCTTCTGCTCGTTCCAAGCTAATAATGACGTTCATACGCAATACAGCGTTCTATGAAGGACAATTTGCCCGGGAAGCGGCCCAAGGCCTGCTCTTATTTCGGATTTCAAATGGAATGGCAATTACGCCAATGTGTACCACGATACCCTTTTTCGTACGATATGAACGACTAGACTCTTCTCCCCTATCGGCCTGCACAATTGACGCAAGGGGAAACCATACCACATAATCCCGACGAACTTTAACGGCCAACACCGGGAGGGGGATCACGGTGGCTAAGTGGATAAGACGCTGGCTCGCTAAGCCTGGAGGTCGGGTGTTCGATCCCTGCATTGGTTGAGAAAGTTCATCCAGATTTCCCGACGTGGTTCTCCCTTGTCAGTGATGCAGGACGGATGGACTGACAAGGACAGTTGTCTAGTCGCTCGGGTGGGACGGAAAACCGAGGTCCCGTGTAAACCTTGGCGTGTATAAGAGTAGTCCGTAGTGCCACTGTCCGGGCAAAATTTCCCTCATACTCATAGCACACTCTATGGCATATGCCCGTCTTCATTAGCAGAACAGTAGGACGTTAAAGCCCATTTCATTTCTTTTCCTTTCCAACACCGGGAACGTATGGGAGGATAACGTTGCCAATATTATTTCAATGTTCACGGTGCAACATATATATGTTAGCAGTTCAAAATACGTAATTTAGTTTTACAATTTGCAATTTCCAACCCTGATCTAAGTGTTAGCGAACAAGTGTCATACTTAGGTTGAACCCTTTCCCGTGGGATATTTTTATGAATTACTCTATAGACATATTTCTTTCATAAGACGACTACAAAACAGAATACCAATACTTAATGTTTACTAACACAACATAAATTACTGTCGATGTCAGTGCTTGTGGCTGTGTATGTATGTTTACTATAACATAAAATATTATAATACACCATTTCACCAACTTTATTCTTATATATCACACGAATTAAAATGGCGTCCTTAGTTGTAATATATTTTATTCTGCTGGTTCCGATTTCAGTTACAGGTAGGTGACTTTTATATGTTTTTGATCGGAGAATCATATAAATCATATGAATAACAAATAAACTACACACAACCCAGGTGTAGTTAGTGCAAAAGATTCTTAGATATAAATTTTGTTCATCCCGAATTCAAACATAAAAGATTTATATTGTTTGACGACAAGTTTCTACACATTCATGTCAAGGTATGGGAGCTTTTTTTACACCCATATTTTCATGTGGACATATATTGTTGTCGCCCCTGACTCGGACGTCTGGCCACAGTCTACAGGTCACAATTTGTACCCAATTTTGACGGAATTTGAAATAAAGGTTTATCTCCCAAAGATCACGGTTCCTTTCGATATTGGCGAGAATTAGTGTCTGTACGAGCACGCTGATATAGCTGACGGCGGACTTCTAACTTAGTTTTCCTCCATGTCTTTTCTGCCTTGCGCCTAGTAAGTTTTGATTCACGAATATCATCAGAAAACCATTTTCTGTTGGGTCTTAGGATTATTTCCTTGGCAACTGTCGGTGCATGATTATCAAATATATTTGAGAGTGTGATATTATACAGTTGAATTTGATCTTCAATTGAATTAATTAATTGAAGACGATCTAGTAATTTACTATTTTCTATAGATGTTTTGAATGCGTTGACATCTTAATGTTTGGTCTTTCTTTTGAGGTTTTGAGTTTTCGGTTTCTTCAAGCACAATTGACTAATGATGGTGAAATGATCAGATATTAGATCGTTTTTAATATCTAAGTTAAGTATGGTTGTATTATCCCTTGTGATGACCAAGTCAAGAATATGACCTTTACAGTGAGTAGAGTCGATGACATGGTGCTTTAAGTTAAACGAATGAAGAATGCTCTGGAATTCTATTGTTTTCGGATCATCTAAAAGATATATATGAATATTAAAATCACCAGAGATAAAGACTTCCTTCTGGTTAGTTAAGCTGTTTTGTGGGTGTCTGGTGGTCTATAGGAGTTCTTGAAAGAATTAATATTGGCCTTGTTGACAGTAGAGTATGGTGGTCTATAGATAGAGATGTAGCTGATTACTTTGCTGTCGAACTGTACATCAGTCTGCAGGTATTCAAAGCTAGTGTATTTTGGACCTTGAATACATCGGACTTTAAGAGACGTTTTGTAGAGAAAAGCCAAACCGCCACCTGTTCTTTCTGTTCGGTTTGATAGAAAATAGCCATCATTTTCGGGTACTAACTTGTTGATAACATAATTATCATTGTCTCTCGTCCAAGATTCAGTTAAAATAACAATGTCAAAATCATTTTCTACAAAATATTCATTTAATTCATTTCTAGCTGGGGGATTGGATGGCTGAATGATTAGCGTGCGCGCGCTATATCATAAAGTTTGTCATTGAGTCGACTGGCGTGGTTTCGAATCCCCGGTTGTACGTGACAAGGAGTAGGGTCGCATGTCCAACCTCGTGGGTTTTCTCCGGGCCCTTCGGTTTCCTCCCACTGTTAAAGACCCCTATGCGCAAGCGAATTATTGAAATAAAATTAAACCATATGTTAGTCCCGAAATGACCTAGTTTGTGTCGAGTGGACGTTAAACCACATTTCTCTCTCTCTCTTTATTTCTAACTGATCTACAACTAAGTAAACAAGTGTTCATCAATCTATTATTATGATGCAGACTGTCTTTATCTGAGTTTTTATAGTTGTTGCAGACGTGAGCTAGTTCCCCCTTGTGCCAAAATGAACTAGCCCGTCTGTGACGTGTATTCATTTTCTGCACGTGCGAGGTGGGTTTTATATAAAGGCCTGCGTTGGTCCATATTTCCCCCTACTTTTGCTACTTCGAATTGGACTTCAAATTCTACTGTGACTTTGGAGGTGCATCAGTGTTAGAGGAGTTATACCTTGCTTTAGTGTGCAAATTGGATATTTTGGATTGCTTATAGTAAGTAGAAAGCTTTAGTCATCTATTAATACTAGGCTGAAATATATGTAAGCTTTGATATGTATTTTATGTTGCATGTTGCTTAGTAGAGTTGTGGCTATATGTAATCCTATTAATAACTAAATTGTCCGTCAGTCTGTCTGATAGCACCCCTCAACCCATTAAGCCTTACACCCGGCCATCTCTGGTTTAAGAGGGTATATTTCAAGGGGGATTAGACTTGGGAAATACAGGATAAAACCCCGATTTTACTATAAATGGCGCTGTCGCTTTTGAACTTTTGTGGGTAGGGTGTTAGTGGGAGTTAGTTTAAAATTCCCGTTTCCCCTGGATTGAGTGGATATAATTCACCTAATTACCCATTGTAAATTATAAAAAGTAGTAGTGATTGTAATTTCGTATTTGATATATTTATTAGGGTAATTGTAGTTCATATTGCAATGGGGCAAACCCACATATTACATATTATTTAAATTGTTGACATAGTATACTCGAAAGCGCGGGAAAGTACTAGCCGTCACCTAGGTAACGCATGCTTTTTGAGTGCTTGGGGTTAGCTCTAGCTATATCGGTAGTATTAGCCATTTAGAACATTCAACAAATAATTTAGATTACCTCACTTTGGATTATAAAATTTCTCTCACTTTTATTAATAATCTGCAGGGATATTAAGTTGTACTTACTGATATTTATTGGTCTAGGTTTGCGTTAGGTGGAAAATATAATTAATTAAGGAATTTCCCGATAGGCATTTGGCCGGAAGTAAATAACCAAAATGGCCGACTTTTGAGAAAATAGTCAAACTTTTGAGAAAATAGTCAAACTTTTGAGAAAATAGTCAAACTTTTGGGAAAGTTTTAGATTAAGTTTAATTCTTGACTTGATTAAGTTGAATTATTTTCTTAGATTACTTTTATAGTAAAACCCCTATATCTTAGGTTACTTGAAAGGGTTATCTGTTAGATTTTTGTTGCAAATAAACTTAGGTTACGTAAATCAACAATAATATCATGGCAGAAAAATTAGATTTTGGAACCGAGTCTAAATGGCCTGTTAAATCAGAACCCTTTGGCTATAGGGAAGCTTTTCTTGAGGAGGCAGAGGTATTTTTAGAGCATCCACGGTCATGTATACAACCCCCTTTGTACACAAGTCAAGATGTGAGAAGTAGGGAACCCCAACCTTACCCCCAATACATTTGAAAAGGAGGGGAGATTTGTAAGACATGACAATAGACATCACCCAAGGGAAGATTCCTTTAATCCCTCAACTATTCCTCGCTGTTTAGTTTATAACGGGAAATCAGATGGAAGTTGGGATACTTTTAGTGATAAGTTTATCCGTTTTGCCCTGTCCCAGCCCTGGGGGTCTCATAGCTCTCGGTGTAAGGATTATCTATGTTATTGTTTAACGGATAAGGCAGCGGAATACTTTACAAGTATAACTCGGAGATTTCCTTGCATGAATTTTAAATCAACTTTAGAAATGATGCAAAAACGCTTCGTAGGTCAAACAATTCCGGAGGCTGCTCAAGTTGAGTTTCAGACCGCAACTCAAGGTCTCAATGAGTCGATAAGTTATTGGAGCGATCGTGTACAACAGTTAGCATTCCGAGCTTACTCTGGTTTGTCGTCGGATGATTTTATAGCTAGGCAATCTGTTTTGAAATTGGTTTCGGGATGTAATAATCCAGAAGCGGGCAGATTTGTCGCTAATTTGAGATTAATTGATATTGAGGAAGCGGTTGAACGGTTGCAGTGGTTCACTCATGTCAACAGCGTAATTCCGTTAAAATCTAATTGAGATAGGAATAGGGGTAGTGGTTATCCCGGGGGAGATAGAGAGGGAGGATCCCTAAATGTGCCTGAGTTTGGAAATTTTCCCCGAACCGATAGAAATGATGACTATGATTCGGCTAAGTTTACGTCTCGTCAATCTCGATCCTCGCTCCCTCGACGAGTATATAAAGACCCGAGATCTCCTCGTGTTAGTCGTACTTATTACTACCCCGAGTCAAGATCACCCAGTCTCTCTCAAGTAGGATTTAGGAAATTGCCTCAAGCAGATATGCAAACAGCAGTGGAATATAGTCCGGTATATCCCCATGTACGTAGGACTAGTGCTTCGCCTGTGCGCAATCAAGTTAAACCTCCCAGTTTAAATGTTAAGGCCACCCCTGAAAAACCTAAAGAGGAGTCTGAAATAGGACAAATGAAGACTGAAATAACTCAACTTAAAGACATGATAGCCACTTTAATTTTAACTTTAAATAGGAGAAGGTCCTCCCCTTCACCTAACAGGGCAAGTGTGACATGTTTCGGATGTGCACAGGTGGGTCATTATAAGAGTGAATGCCATTTGCGACCTTCTAATTCGCAATTACCTCCCTCTGCAATGAAACAATTAAGCTTTAAAGACAGTGATAATTTAAACGATCAAGGGACGAGGCAGTAGGCCTTCCCTCGATCCCTGTTGAAGAAGGCCCAAACCTGAAACAAGCACCTCTACCTGAACCTGTAGACAGATATCATGTTGACATTGCCCCTATCTCCAAGGTTGGGAGGAGTGATAGTGTTTCTAACCCTGATGATGAAATTTCTGTTGCTAGATTACCCTCTGTTATTGCATATAGAGTCCCTTTAACAATAGAAAATTTAGTTACTGAGTCGTTGATTGACACTGATTCGGATTGTACTATAATATCGCCTGAGGTTTATGATCAGATCGAAATTAAGCCACCCAAAATTAGGGATATTACCATACAATTAGCAGCCGAAAATATGACATTTCCTGGATTCTGGATTGGCCCCGTTACTCTCCGAATAGGGTCTTTTACGTTTACAGATAATGTCTATGTAGCTCCAATAGCTGATACAGCTTTACTTGGCTTAAATTTTCTTAGAAAATGGAAAGTTATTATTGACTTTTTACATGCGTGTTTAATAGTAGGCGATGAGACTATACCCATAGTAACAGGACTAAGGCCTACGTGTAATACTGATAGTACTCCATATACTGCCCAAGTTATGGTCCCTACTAAAACTATTATTACGGCTAGGTCAGTCACTCGTCTACCTTG